TTTAACACCATTCAGCAGAATGTATGAAACTTGAATCTTTGATGTTCCTTTTTCATCTCCTAGAGTATCAACTTGTCCTGCAGTTCTAGAATTTAAGTCTCCAAGGATGAATATGTTTCCTTGATTTGCAAAATGCAGAGATTCTTCAGTGATAATATCAAACATATCTTCACCTGAGATGTCATTGTTTTTATAATAGGTTGACCCACCAACTGGTGGGACATATAGACTACATAAAAAGAGATTCCTGTTTAAACCAAAGAAATCTTTACCCATTTTCACCCATATGGCTTCTTTACATTTACTTTTAATTTTTGTTAGGTCTTTACTTAATATAGACCAGAGGATTAACACCTTTTATCTAATCTAAAGTACAAATATCCCTCTGGCACACTAACTCTCTTACCAGGTCTCTAAAAAACAAACTATATCATGTTTTTTAACAAACTCGATGAAATCACTATCATCCATACTAGAATTTAAGCCATGAATATTCCAAGAAGCGATTTTTAGTTGCTGCTTGAATCTGTTCATCGTTTAACGCCATGGAAAGTAGTGTCGGACAGGAAGATAATTAGGTACAGCAAGCATCCAAGGCATAGGTGTGGGCACTGCTGAAAATGGTGGTGGTGAATGCATTCTCTGTTGATACCAGTTTGGCGTTGTCATATGATACATTGATGAATTCTCAGCCATGACATGGTTGTTGTTGCTGCTATCCCTATTGTCAGTTATGTTTTCAGTAGATGCATTTTCATTAATATTATTTCCTAGGATTTCTTGTGTTTTGTAATCATGTTTGTTTTTATAACCATTTAAATCATTATCTAACACATTTTTTTCTCCTTAATTGTGATCTTGGTCTCTCTCGTAGATTGTTGTTTCTAATTCTTGGTTTGTTCTTAATAGCACTAATTATGTTAGCTGCCAAGACCTTGGTACCAATGTCATTGAGATGGATATTGTCACTATGATAATATTTCTTTGTGCCATACAACTTGTTATGGTCAACAAAGATCATACCATCTTGGTCATCTATACGTGACTTGACATTAAGGTATACCTCTTTGATTTTCTTATTTAATTCTGAATTTCCTCTTGGTAGAATACCTGATACAATGACTGTACTAGACGTATTCATTCTTGATTTACTTAGGTGGGCTAAATTCACGATATCTTCAATGACATCCCCACTCTGTTTGCTGTTATCTATATCATTGCTTCCAACATGCAATATAAGTTTATTAACATGTTCCATTGAGCAAATTTTTATCTGCTGTTCTACATCAAGTATGGTTGAAGCACGTATTTTGTCAACTTGTTTCTTGGACAGTTTGACAACATCAATATGTTTTATTAGGGAATCACCTATAAGGACCATAGTGCTGTCTTGCCTAGTCAGTCCCTTTGTTTTTTTGCTTTGAATTTGATAATTGCTGCTTTTTCTCTGTATATGTCTCATTTTCATCTTTTTCCAGATGATACAGCAGTGTTGACATTTGAATCACTCTCATTGTGTACATTCATGTTTAGTACTTGTGGGCTACACTGACTAGCTATTGATGTCTTCTTGACTGGGTGAAATCCGGTATCCATTTCCTGTATGATGGTTTATCCTCCAGAATCATCAGGCGAGTAGTCAAGGTTGTGTTATTAGTTTTCAAGTTCTCATTCTCATTCATCAGCTTGGAGTTAGCTTCTGTCATTTCATTTAACTCTTTTCTGTGATTATTAACAGTTTCTTCCATGGATTTTCTTAACTCCTTCATTTGTGTAGTGTGACTCCATTTGCTCTATGTGTTCATGTTAACTTCTTACTTGTTTCTCATCAATATCCTTATCTGATTTATTTACTGTCATTTCTATGTCACTAAGCTTGGTTGTCAACAAGTTTAATAAACTTTTCTCTTCAGTATTTATCCGAACATTGACAGCTTTAATTGTATCTTCAATGTTGGCTAAATCCTCCTTTCTCTCTTTTGCTATGTGAGTATTAAGTTTAATTTGTTCATCATTCAAACCATCTGCTATTATTGTATACTTTTCCTCAAGCACATCAACTGCTGAGCTGACATTTCTCAATTTTCCCTCAAGCATGTTATAACGGTTATCCAGAGCTTTATAGTGCCCTTGAAAAACCTTAGTAATACTGACTGCTGGACTTGAGGGTGCAGATTTGACTTGGTTTAGTAATATTTCCTCAAATTGAAGTTTGTCATTAACATCGGCAGTGATAGTTTCTGAGCTATCCATTTCACTCCCTGTTGTGGCATCAGTAGACAGCACTTCCTTTGTTTGTGTTACCACTGCAGTGGTAGTTTGGCTGACCTTCAATTTAAGTATTGGGAAATCATTCCTGCCCAAATTTTCTGAAAATTGGATGACTGAACTAAGACACCACCTTTACTATAGAAGGTGATCTGGAGTATGAGGTTTTCCTTGTCTTTGGAACAGCTCTTTCTGTAGTGAAACATCTTAGTAATTTCATTTCTACTTGGTAGATCTTCCCACAACACTTCAACCTTGTGTTTTCCTTCATAGGAGAGGTCATACCACTGTTTACATACTGTAATCCATGTATCAATCTTGTCAACCGCACATTTAAATTTAACATCCAGGGAGTTTGAATTCCTCTAACTAATTTATAGTCAGTATATAGAGTTTGATATTCTGGGATGTCTTTCATTGAGATATTTCTTATTTTGTTAACTGTACTCACATTATCAGCTTTCTCTGGAGCTACACTGACACTGTTTACTGACACAGCATCCAATGTACCAAGGTCATCATCATATTTGTAGTCAGCATGCCTCAATGGTTTTGGCACTCTTTTTGGAGTCTCTTCAGCTGATGTGGTAGCCATTTTCAACTCAGTAGATGCAGTTAACATTCGTAAAGACCACCCAGTTGTTATATAATGTAGAACTTCCTTTCCGACCACTCTTTTCAAAAGTCTTAGCAGACAGGATATAAACACACTGTGACTAAGATGGCGGCCATTTTTATAAAATATAAACTGACTACAATACAATATAAACTGACTACACTCCAGACTATCGAAATAATGGAGCGTATTGGAACTATAAGGTACGTTCATGGACAGAGTAATTGTGCCTCACAAACAATTTGTTTTTGTATTTACAATAATTTAGTTTCGAGTTGCTACGACAACACTGTTAGTGACACCATTTTGCTGCTAGACACAGCTGTCTCACCTCCATGGTCAGGCCATCTAACCCTAGTATCCCATAATCCATCTCTCCTCAAGATTGGTTGGAATATTTCTCAGGTTGTTTTTTTCAACATTTTGAGGACTTTTACAATGAAATGGAAAAATACGTTAAATGCGACACTCTTCTTAAATATGTCTAATACCAATGCTAATTATGACGAAAGCACATTTAATATTTAGACTAACCAATCACACTAGATGAAATCAACTCTATGAGTTATTGATGGTATCCAAGTAGAATGTTTCAAATATGTAGGTTCTAATTGTATTCAGCTTGTGTGCAATATGTTAAACAACTGAAAATACTTGACCTATGTCATTTCTCTAGAAAAGGGGCTGAAGGTTTGACCGCTGCAATTTTTAAAATGGGGTGTCGCAAAACAGTTGGTAACAGAGGCATCACATTACTTCCTATTATTGGCATTTTGTCGTTATATTATACACGCTTATCAAATTTTACTGATGTATATTGTCCCATTGTCGAGGCACAGGTTGCCTTCAAACGAAAGCGTAGTACAATCAATAACATTTTTATGTTATAATAGGAAAGTACCTGTCAAAGCACAAAACCCGTTTGTTCTGTGTTGATTTCGAAAAAGCATTCGACAGGATTGAGGACAACATAATGTTTGATAAACTTCTCATATGAATAGTGAATTACTAAAAATTATAAAATCAATGTATAGTAATGTTAAGTCGTGTATCCAGACACCTACCGGTATGTTATAGACGATATACAGGAAATTGGATTATACAACGGGGTAAGGTTGAAATTACTTTATCTGCTTTATGCCGATGATTTATCCATTCCTTGTTATATGTGTTATATGTAATTATGTGTATACTGTGAAAAATAGAAGCTTAAAGTCAATGCTAACAAGTTCAAAATTATAGTGTTTAGAAACGCAGCTAAACTTCAATCAGATGAGCATTGGTATATTGAGTAAGGGTAGAATTGGTAGCATATTTTAATTATTTGGGTATAATACTTTCATCATCGCGTTCATGAACACAAGAAGATGGAGATTCCATGCTTAAAAAATATTGAAAAAGTACATACGTCTATTCGTCAAGTATTTTGCATGGGTCGTGATGTGCTCACAGACTGATATTGATACAGATTTCGTGTTTCTAATCACAGATCACATCGAGAGTAGCAGGGCGAAAAATATTCTCAGAGAATTATGAATCTGCACTTTAACAGAAAGTGGAAGACAAATTTTCATTTTTGTTGAGAATGTCCCTTATACAAACATTTGAGAGAAAAATGCCCCCTTACTATTACGAATACCCACCATTTATAAAAAAAAAGCACTTTTAAATTCTCATAACCCGTTTGATCTTCTGTCGTTATAAAAGTATATATTTCATGGTTTTCAAATTAAGAGACGATTTCCAGTGCTGATTAAGATGGCATGATCATTTCTTTGTTTTGTGAACTTTTTGTTGTATATAAGACCTACAATAGTGTAATAGAGTATGAATAAATTAGTTTAGGCATTGAGACTAATAAATGTACCTGAATCGTGGTTGCTACGAACCAGCATCCATGTTGACATTTAAGCTTTTTATGTCTCTTAATGAATAATGCATGTGGTCAATTGTAACGCAATAACCTCTTAAATCAAGCAATATATGGTATAATCCGATCAGATCCACTCCAACGAACACAAATTGCGCTAAAAATACGCGTGTACACAAATTTTAGCAAACCATTTGATTCAGTTTCACACACGCATACAATATTGTATTTTTAAACAAAGTCTTCTTAATTGGTTAAAGATTATATTAATTGCCAGCCGTTTCGGTATCTATAATCTATAAAATATATAATCCGTCACCTAAAGCAAGCGTAGCCATTCCGGTTCGTTATCTCTCACTGAATTATTATTACAAGCAGCATAATAAATATTACGAGAAAACGCATCAATCAATACGGTTGCCGTACTACTTTAGTGCATACTCTGTAGTATTTTCCCGCCAAAATTTGGTGATTTATTTTCCCCTTTAATGTCCATCAGTATTTATTCTTCCAAATCATAGTTTCTACTTTTCCGCCAAATCTTGTTAGATATATAAAATGCAAGTTTTAGGAAGTATGTTTGATTATTGCACGTCTTAATTTCGACATATGTTTTTCATGCTAAATATACCTTATGAAAAATGTCTAATTGACTTGCATAATTATGTATGAGGTTTTGACTTGGTCAATAATCATGTAAACTCTGTAGTCCAGGCGTCGTTTTTTTGATTTATAATTATGAAATTGCAAATGCATTTTACAACTGTTCTATTTTACTATTGCGCAATGTTAGTATTTTAGAGTTGTTAACAGTCGCATTGATCTTCAAATATATTTACCAATCCTGAGGTATATGTCCCCTTTTAGCATTTGTTCTAGATGATATATTTATTTTTAAATTTACATTTTGCATTTCATAATTCAGTAAAGAAAGTATTTAATATATTTTATATTTGTAGTCTTGTTAGTTTCACGTGAAGTTGGATCCTGTGAATAGGTTTTATGTTCGAATAAATAAAATCAGTTGATCGAATGATTCTCAGGAGGAAGGGACCTAAATAGTAATGCAAACTACTAAGCTCTGGGTTCAGTGTACAAAAACAAAAATATAAAAAGAGATGTGCATGATCACACATGACCCTGACAGCTGCTATATGAATAAATAAACATGCAGCACTGTTCGCATGTGAATGGCTTTCGCGTGTGTGATCATAACGGTGTACCTTCACGAACACGAGAACCAGTCCCACTATTGTGTAGAATTTTGGGATATAAACTAATAAGGTCAGGATTAAATGCACTAAAACCAACGATATAAAAAAAATGGGCATGAGCACAGGTAACTCTTCTTTTAACTGCTAATGCTAAGGACAATCAATACTGGATTACAGCTGCTTCATAAATAAACACATTCAGCATTGTCCGGGTGTGAATGATAGTGCTCTTGTGTGCATAATCATGTCTTTGTGTTTTCATTGTACATGTATACACTGCCATTGGAGGAATGACATCGGTAAGTTTGATTCAATATATTTCCTTTACGTCCAGTTTAATTTAGTTGATCTATATAGAGACTCTATTTGCATATAGCGTTCCAGCCATCCGTATAATTTCGTATGATGAATAC